AATATAGAAATATCGGAAATATATCAAATCTTCACTTAGTTTTGGACAGTTTGGAAACGAATCTGCTCCCGTTTCGAACATAAAAATGGAAAAATTATTTTTGAAAACTCGACTTCGGATACCTATCTCTATTCAACTCAGTGACAAATTCTGACACAAACAAGTTACTTACAGGATATTGATATTGAATAAACCATTATTATATTCAGTTTTCAGGAGTTGATTAATTTTATGCCTATAACAACTGAACAAGAATCTATATCACTGGCTGTCGATTAATTTACCTTTCAGGTTCTTCAATAGTCGCATTTTCAAGAGCAGTGAAAATTGTGGGTAAATCAACTGATTTGTCCTTGCTACACATATCTTGAAATACTTAATTCAAAGGAAGAAGAAAAGTGAAAAGCCAGAGAAATGTATACTAATTATGGTTTTCTTCCTTCTCTCCATATGTTCCTTGAACAATATAGGGATTTCTCCTTGTGCGCTCCAGGAGATTAGAGAAAGAACACGTTTCTCAATAATTATCATTGTCAAACTGCAAACATCAATGTCTTTCGTATTTTAGCATTTCTAACATATATCATTCAGTGTAATTTGAGATTTCAACACATTGTAACTCAAAAAGAAGTAAGGAAATACTTCTCGTCTCGTAATGAACTTCTGGTCCTAGAATTAGCACCATAAATAAAGTATTGTCATATCATGTCGCATAGGCAAATCAATTTCTAGAAAGGGTATTTGGCGTTTTGCACAATGCAGCTAACATGACGCACCATCTCACTATTAGGTGAGATCAGCTCTTTCAAAAAATGGAGCACAGTTTCGGTTTCTACTAAAAAAAATACTTCACATATCAGAAAAAATATCGCAACTCTGTCCACTGAGTACTATACCAGTGATATAGGTACTATTCATATGATTCCGAATCTAGTTCCTAATTAATACGGCTTATTTTTATGTACACAAGAGACAGTAAACAGGTTCCCCCATTTCCATTGAATGAAGAGAATTCAATGCAAAGTAGGTGTGTAATTTGAAACTTTGTCGCCGCAAGGTTTAGGGATGAGAAATAACGAAGTGGAAAGCATCATTCTGCAATTTCAATTTATTGACTCATCGATTTTGATACAGCGCTGAAGTATCAGATTCCATGGATGTGCTCATACAAAATCAATACCATTAGTTAATCAACACCAAGAAATATGACTGAATGAAATTGGTACATGTTATTTTAATCAAACAGTATTGGAGCTGGAAAAAGCTTGAAGTAAAAGTTTGTTCGACAGCGTTTAGTATATTGCCAATGAAGTATGAATATAGAAACAGCATTGCTGATTGTTGCCAGGTTGAAGCACTGCGCTCCAATATCGATTGAAGAGTTTCAATCACCATTGGAATGATCCATGATGCTATTCCATAAGTGTATTGAAAATAATCCATCTTGTTGGTATTGAGACCAAAGATCCAATTCAATGAGAATCATTGCGAGAACTTATTCAATCAACGATAAGTGACATTTATTCATCGACAATTATTTCAGGATTACGTTTTTTCCGAAACATTTCGAAGTTATGGACAATTTAATTAATAGTGGTTAGTAGGTTGAGTTAGGTCAGGTTCTATGTGAGTTGGACCAACCTCATCCCTAGCGGTTAGATTTCCCTGTATATATTGACTTCTTCTCACAAAATTTATGGGGTGAGATTTTTCTGCTGAAATTGGTAGGTTCTAAATTGGTGAAACCAAATATGTTGAATGTGAGTCTTTCAAACTGAGGAAATGAACATAATAATATGTCGTCGCTATAAAATCTAACCAGTATATCTGCAGTCATGGCATTTTTGAGTTATTGGTGCCAAAAAATCCATTTTTTTCTCCCTTTGTGGTCAGTTACACCTGCATATGTATAGTTCACTTGTAATTCGTCAGGTAGCGTGGTAGCGTGGTGGCGGTTTGAATTTTGGCGATGATATTCAATATCTTCATGAGTATAGTGAGCAGGTGTATTGTCCAATGCGTCAGTCGAGTTGTCGTGTTGTAAATTGCTGCAGCATGTAAGTAAAACCGAATTATCTCACATAACCTACTGGCAGATAATCCAGAAAATTTTACCCATATTTGAAGTCATATCGACATATCTGAATATTATTCTGTTACCAGACAATTTTCTAGTTATTTGCCACCGATTTAACTACAAACAACATCGAAGTCGATTTTATACACGAAAAAGAAAGCTGTGGAAAAAAATATGAAGTAGACATAAAAAAGTTGTGTCAAGTCTGTGGTTTGACCAGGCACATACGTTCAGTATGAAGTTTGACCATCAGTCTGACCAGCCAGCTATTTGGTAATATCGGCCACGTTTCAAACCCATCACAAAGTTACCACATCAACTTCTAATGGAGGTCGAGTCAGTCATTGACCATTCTGGTATCACCACTGTGGTGGGACGAATGACTTGACACAGCCAAAAACAATCATGTAGAAAAACGCTCCGGTGAAAAATAAGAATTCTGCATACGCCGGTTTGATGTCACTGCGACGATGTGTTCTGCTGTTTCGACCCCCACACAAAAAAAACACAGTATGTTCATTGGTATTGATCAGACTCACCCTTTCTAGGTGGTATCTCATCAGATTATATTTTCAGATAATCTATGCAGGAATGCTTTCGAAGGAGTCCATCCTAGTAATGCAGACCAGTACGTGAGTCTCTTTCCTTCCGCCCAGTGCAATATAGTTGTTTTGGCAGCACCTGATGTGGTATAACTCACTCTAAAGTATGGTTCTGGTCCTTTGAACACAGATTCTGTTTCCTGTTTGGCCAATATTAGAGAAAAACGATTCCTAATATCGAAGACAAAATTCATAATGGTATATCTTCTAGAGTTAGTTATTAAAAAAAATGGTCTGGCTGTTGAGATCATGTCTATACATAGCCTGATCTAACGAAGGTAATGAGAGGTATCAAAAGAACGATGGTAAGATGAAAGTAAAGTCAATTCGCGATTGAATCCTTCAGTATTCTGATGTTGCTGACGTACTTATGGGGTGTTCTGAATTTTTGAAAAAGCACACGGTATTGATGATTAGAGGAATATCAAATAGGAAACCAACATTAAAAGCTGACTCAACGTTCAGAATCCAGTTCAGAATACAGAAAATAATTTCGAACTTCATAATAATCTACTAAAAAGTTTGGTGATGTTTGAAATGTTCTGCTCTGTGTACATCATTAGCAAATACTAACTGGTGAAGAAGAATCAGAAGTTATACTATTCATTATGCCGCTTGTCAAAATCGGGAGGTGAATTCGTCGCTTGAATTATAGCTCTAATACGCGTGCTTCCTCGTGTGGCTGTAAGGGTTCGAACCCTTGTTCTTGGGAAGGTGACATACTTTTCAATTATTCAAACGACCCTGCACCTATCTTGTCCGCACGCGGATCCTAAAAAATAGGATGAGCGTACGCCGGGACGGAAGATGAACAGATGATAGACGCATTTAAAACCGGTATAGCGTGTGCTCCGACATAATTGAAGAGATACCTGAATCGGACCCCTTCTTTGGATTATCAATTAATCAGCTGTAGGTGAGTTTTATCTACAAGTTTTTTTACTAGTCGAGTAAGTAACGTGCTTCCCTTCAGCGTGTGCCGTGATTTATGTTAATATCTTGAAGGGTACTACTATATATGGTTAGTGAAGATATCGAGATATTTTTTATTATCATGTTAACAAAGGAAAGAAGTACTTACTACCTACTTCTCGAACAAATGAAGTTGTCTAGATCATAAAGAAAAAATCGACAGAAAATGTTGTCTATAATATTGAAGTTTCATTTATTTGCTATTGAAAACTATCTTTATAGTGCATCATAGTAGTGAATAATATAATATTCACAAAATTTTTGAAGTATTATATTAAGCTATTTACTATGATTTATAATAGGAAGTATAAGTCTGAGAGAATTATATAGCTATACAGGATATTCTTTAATGATATGCTAATATCCAAGGGGCCGATTATTCGACCTATTTCAAGAATGAAACTTCATATGACCGTATCTCGTGAACGTAAGTTTTTTAGTTACAGGATGTCAGTGTTGACAATATGCATAGATTCTTTTTTTGTCCACCCTGTATCTTCTCGTGATGACAGAATTCAGTCTGCTATGTAATTGAATAGGTATGAGAAGTTCAAAATGTTTCATACTGTGGTTATCCAGTAAGTGAAATAGCTCCTGGCCCGAAACAGATAACCAAGTTTTTGGGATGCACTTTTAGCAATTGATCTCACGTGATTTTCCCAAGAAAGGTTATTGCTTATAGTAATACCAAGCATCGAAATGAATGTCTTCAAAGGTATGGTTACTCCTGACAAGCTTATGTTGGGTACAGTGAGATCGGCTTTTCTAGAGGAAAGACATGCTTGTGTTTTGTTTGCATTGAAATCTACCAAGTTATTGGATCCCCATTCGAGAATTGTTGCCAAGTCCATATTTATGTTGTCAAAATTTCTCCCTTGTTCGTTTTTTATTTGCCTGGCTGGTATTGGAGCCCTGGAAGATAAGACGGTATGGAGGGTACTATCATCCACGAAGCTGTGTACTGGACATGAAGTTGCTTCCAACAAATCGTTGATATGGAGTAGATATATTGTTAGTGCTAGCATTGATCCTTGCGGGACACCAGCATTTATGTTGAGAGAGTCAGATGAAACTCCGTCGACCACTACATTGAGAGACCTGTTTGAGAGAAAAATAGCTAGCAGAGAACATAGCTGGGGAAGCAAGCCATAAGATGGAAGCTTGGCGAGGAGTCCGTCGTGCCAGACTCGATCGAATGCCTTGGAGATATCAAGTGCCACAGCTAAGGTTGCACCATAATTTTCAATAGATTGCTGCCATATATGTGAGACGTGAGCGAGCAAGTCACCAGTTGATCTCTGATGACGGAAGCCATATTGCATATCGATGATATACCGTTAAATACTCACCACTGTGCGTCGTATTCGACTCAGCATCAGCCACCTCGGTCCTGGACCGTTTGCAGCTGTTCTCCTCCGACGAGGTCGTATTGTCCATCTTCTCCTGCTTGATCAGCGGCTTGATGTCCTCCTCGGGGCTCGAGCTCGTCAGCGGCGAGGAGGCTCGCCTCTTCGGCGTGGAGGAAGCAGCCCCATCCACGCACAGGTCCCCGGGGGCAGGCAACCTAGGCGAGGCCGGTGGAGGGGTGTGCACCCTGCTCTTCTTGATGGGAGCGGATATGCTGGGCCTCCTGCTGTTGATGCTGGCCAAAGGCAGGTTTCCATCGTCGTTCTCGCGCTCTCGATCTTTGGGGTAGCACTGACCGAAGTTCTCCTTGTTGCAGGAGGAGACCTTGTGCTGGATGAAGCGGACTATGTCGGAGAGGGCGAAGGGTTTCTGGCAGACGCCGCAGGTGAGGATGTCCTGGTGGGGGTCGCCTTCTACTCCGTCTGCGTCTGCTGGAAGCAAAGAATGATATTAAAGAAAATGACTCAGCTACCACTTGATATGATGGGAATCAATAAATTGATGAGTAGCAAATCAAGCAATTTCCATAAATGATAAAACAATTACCAACAATGGTAGATGCCGGAAGAAACACAAATATTTTCCTGGCTATTTCCACGCAAAACATTTGACTACATCCTCCCGAAATCTATACACGGACACTGATTGAAAATGTTTCTTTCCTCAATGCATAATATATTTCGTGATGATGTAATGTCTGCGTGGCATTAGCCAGGAATGTAGTTGTTTTTCTCCGGTTATCCGCCATTGTTATTCATTATTTGAACAATCATGGATATGACTTCGAGGTTTTGCTCAAAGCTTCATTGTGTTCAATTGGATTTCATCAATTAGCAGACATCTGACATAAACATCAGTGCGCGCGTAGAGTATGGAAACATGAATATATCTATGACATCCCGATTACAATAAGAAAATGTTATGTATATTAGATGGACCAGCAATATTGAATTTTATATTTTTAACGTAACCAAATATACAGTTTTCGAAATATATGAACAAAATGTTCATTTCTTATTGCCGATGCAGCATTCAAACTGTAAATGGCCAATATTGCACATTTAGAAATCAGGAATACTATTTCCATTTATTGTAATCGTATGTTTTAAAATAAAAATAAAATAGAATGAACGACCTGGTATTGGTTGAAGTTCAATAAAGTCTTCGTTGTTTTTGTACTGATGAATATGATATGGGGGAGTCAAAGTTGTCTCCATGTGTCCATACTATATGCAGAAGTCTGTTGTTTTTAAACATAATTAGATAAAAAAAGAAGAAGAAGAAAACTTTTCCTACTATTGTTTCTATTGCCGGCCACTTTTATTGTTTTCGCAAACGATGCTTTATTTTAGAAGGTTATTTTTATCGAATTTGGGAAGTGTACAGATTGTTTTCTTGTTGTTGATTGGATCGTACCGTACCTCTTACAGAGGTTGAAGAAGAGTAGTTTTTGTCGCAAAATCAACCTTTATTTTTTCATCATTAGTGATTGTGAGGAAGATATAGGTAAAATAGTATGGATACATTGCTGGAAACAGGTCAAAATGCTTAAACTATTGGAAGACAAGTCAAAGTAACTATATCTAAGTGGTTCTTGGTTCTTGGTTTTTGGGTCATGAACAAATGTTGGAATACATCAGACAGATCGAAATGAGTTCAATTCATCATTTGCTGTTGTAATTCTGCTTATCGACATCAAATTTCGATTCCCGAAACTGAACCATGGAGTAATTTCTGAAATCTGTAAATCGTCACAAAACATCACACGTCTGAATGTTCTCATTGAAATTTCAGGAATTAGATAATTTGGTAATCTATTGTATGAATAGTTTAAAGCTCGATATACTACAAAACACATTGAATAACATCCTGCTGATATCTAGGCAACGATTCGTAAAGACGAATACAGCTGCCAGTGATTCTTTCTCAAATGCTGAGCTGTGCCCAAATTGTTCAGGAACGCTAAACTACCATTAGACCGGTATCGAGTCTATGGTCTCTCATCAGTATAACATAAACACATCCCAGCATTCAATACCCACGAGGCGTTCGGCATCTTTGAGATGGACACGAACGCCAGCTGGGTACTTATTTGCCATTGATTTTTTGTTCTGGACACCCTGTATAAGTCCAAGCTCGACATTTGCCGACAATAAACCCGCCAAACAAGACATACATCAAGGAGAACAATTACCAATACGAATAAGGCAAAAGTGGTGATTGCTAATCCTCGTAGGGGTCCGTTTTGACGACAGTGGGTGGTGTGAGGGGTAGAGAGGGGCTGAAAGGGGTGGCCGCGCTGCTTGTCGAGTGTCATTACGACACCCGGTCGCGTCAGGGGGTGTGCATGAACCTCATGCAGCTGTTTTCTCGCAATCGATATGCCCGATATGAAATTATATGCCCAAAATTAGACCCACATATTCAATAAAGGGTGTCCTCAAAAAAATAATTATACAGGGTGTCAACAAATAAGTGTCACAACGGAAAACTGTAGATTCCTCATAATAAAAGAAACATTTCTTTCCTCTTCAAAATGTTTCTCTGAGCTTCCGTTTTCAAGATACAGGGCGTCAAAAATGTTCAGTTCAATTAAACATACTTTACAACACCTAATAAACTTAGCAATTCAAAGTCCATCAGCATCGAGACCAGCATACTCAAGGACCTGACATTTGATTGAACATTTTATTAGACAGTTCTGAGGTGTTTATTTCCAGTGGATTTTCAGACGATTTTTTGATATACCATCAGGATTTTGTATGTTCTTATTCATAAAGAGCCATTTTTCGCGAAAACTGTTCACTTTAGAGCATTGAGACAAGATGACGTTTTTTGTGTGAAAAATATTGGCGCTGCAAAATCTACTTCCTGTCCTGAAAGTTATTGATGATGCAGTGTGTACGATGGCTTAACTCCGTAGCTCAAACGGTTCCTGATGTAGTAGCAAAATCAGATTGTTTTGTATTTTTTTGAGGCCCTCTATCTTGAAAATGGAAGCTTGGAGAAAAATTTCGAAAAGGATAAAATGTTTCTTTTTTCATTAGGAATCTACAGTTTTCCGTTGTGACACTTATTTGTGAACACCCTGTATACGATTACAGGGTGTTGCAAAGTTGAGGAAGCTCCACAAGTGACAGCCCTATAGTAACTCAAGAACGGTTGATTGGATTTCAACTGCAAATACGTTAGTAAGAACAAGAATTTTGAAAAACATTGCTGCCCCAACGGTAGCCCTTCCTGAATTTCGAAATGTTATCCAAGAAATATTATATCATATTTTAGTGATCTCAGTCTGATGCGCTCAATTTCAATCACGCGGGGAATGAGAATTCGGAAACTGAAAAAAAAAACGATTTTAGAAATCGGAAGTTATGATTCGAATTTGATAGAATATTTTCGATGGATATAGGTGATTTCACGCAGCTGTTTTCTCGCAATCGATAAGCCCGATATGAAATTTTATGTCCAAAGTTAGACTCACATAATTATTCAATAAAGAGAGTCTAAACAAAATAGTGATATAGGCTATACAGAGTGTGGAAACAAAATAACTTCGAATTGTCGAGTTACAGGGCGTTGAAGTCAATAACATTGTATTATCGCCGTTACTCAAGAAAGGTTGAATGTTTTCAGTCAAATCCGGTGTTTTGATTTAAACTTCAAATAAGTTATTATCTTTAACAAGAAATATCGCGCTACGAGGGTTGTGTTTACTATTTATTCCTCATATTTTGTGAGAAACTTATAAACAGAACTACCATATCGAATTCCCTGTTCAAGTATTTTTAAACTAATAATCCCAATGTTCAAGACAACAGTATTCGAAATATACCTAGATATGTATCGAGTCAGGCAGAGATATACTATATATATTGTCGAAAACTGAGTTTTTGGACAGTAAATTATCAAATATATTCCTAATGAACGATTTTTATGTCACAATAAAAAACAACGAACAATCATCTGTGAACGGGCAGATACAAGTAGAGTCCCGTCTATACCTGTTTTAATCCCCTTCTTAAAAATGTTATACAACGAGTAGAGTTCCGATACGTAGGAGGTAGTAGAGAATGAATATGATCAAACTTGTTGATACGAAACGCATACCAATTATTTTTAAACAATCTAACCAAACTCGGTCTAAATGAACCTTCTTTATGGAAAGTATATATATAGTTTTTGGAAGGGGACTAGGTACTATATCTAAACAATCTTACCTCACTTGGCCTTAATGAACCTCCTACCTATAAAGAACATATTTTTAAAACCAATCCACCTCTCAACAAAATCGTGAGGAAGGAGACTATACTTTTTCTAAACAATCTAACCTCATTAGGCCAAAGAACCTTCCTTCTTAGAAGGTATATTTTTCGTAAGAAGACTACTATTTCTGAACAATCTCATCTCACTCGGCCATATTGAACAATTTTTTGAACAATCTGAGTCCATTTGGCCTAAATGAACCTTCCCCATAGAAAGTATATTTTTTGGAAAGAGACTACGTTCATGGGAATTGTTCCTACCTATGCCAGAACTCTACTCGTAGCCAGTTTATATATACATATAGGTAGTTCAGGTATTCTCCGCTGCGAACAAATTTTAGTCGAATTCCACAGCACCACGTATATGCCATTTTTCAACTCCTTTGGAAGATGATATTCAGAAAAATATTTTCTAGAATTCATAATACAATCACTTATAATTAAGTTGAATCTTTTAATTCTATATAATCATATTGAGAGTCATCAGAATTAACTAAATAAACTGTAAGAAACCTTCAGCAGTCTAACAAAATATTCAGCATTTTTTGAAAATAACAACGGTTTCGAGAAGCATGCGTAAAAAAATTGCTCACTTGAAGAAGAAATTGTCATTCTCTCTGAAAAATCAGATACCACTCTGATATGCTCATGCAAAATTACATTTCTTTTGAATCAAATATTTTCCAAATCGACATTTCTTTTGTGATAACAAGAAACAGATATATGAAGAAATTGATTTCCTTCCCTTTGTATTTACTTTGATATTTTTAGTAAATGAAAATAATTAGAAACAACTAATACCGTTACAGTATTAGAATTAAATGCTATTATGACCTCGAACCCATCGCCAAATAGAAAATCATTTTTAACGATCGTGTTGTTGGTAATATTTATCGCCTATTATACGGTAATATGGGACCGTGGAATTCTCTAATTGATTTCCCAAAGTGATAATGAAGACTAACTAAAATATCTGAGTGCAGTTTCAGAGAAAAAACAAAATTCCTCGTTATTAAATCCAACCAGTAATTAGATGGTTATTGAAATTAGATGAACTGACCTCTGATAATCGCTATGTGGTCGAACAAATACAAATAAAATATAATTCCACTAATGAAATCTATAGTTTTCGATCAATGATACTTGTTGCATTGGGGGAAAAACAA